GACACATAACTAACTTAGCCACCCAGGCGCCCCAACCCTCTTGTCTCCCTCTGTCATCCCACCCCCTCCACCTCTTCTTTCTTCCCATTGGTTAATTTTATGGATTGCCATTTATTCTGTTTGTAAGCAGCACATATCATGGCAAAAAATGAGCAAAATTAGAAAAAGGTATGAAGAAGAAAATAAAAGTGACCCGTTGTCCAAACATCCAACTATACGTCCCATGTTATAACGTTTTAGTGTATTTTCACCGAGTCTGTTTTGTCTAGAGTGTGTGGCTTGTTTGTGTGTGTGTGTGTATGGCTTTATTTTCACAGTCTGGGATCATACTATATACAGAGCTTATATATGATTTTTGGATAAAGCAATGGGTCATGAGCACTTTCTCCGTGATGTGTTATATTTTTTCCTACAACATGATCATTGGTGGTTTTATAATATTCCAAATTATGCATGTGCCACGTGTATAATCAATCCTCTTGTTGGACACGTGGCTCATTTCTTTAGTTTATATTTTTTAGTTTTTTAGTTTATATTTTTTTTAGTTTATATTTTGAGAGAGACAGAGAGAGCAGGGGAGGGGAAAAGAGAGAGAGAGAGAGAGAGAGAGAGAGAACCCCAAGCGGGCTCTGTGCTATGAGTGCAAAGCTGGACGCTTTGGATCCCAGGAACCATGGAGATCACGACCTGAGCCGAAACCAAGAGGTGGACACTGAACCCACTGAGCCACCCAGGAGCCCCGAGGCTCGTTTCAATTTTTAACGTTACAAATATCCTGGGAATAGCACCTTGGACGGGAGATTATGTTTTCTTTTTAGCATTTGAGCACTCTGTGTTCCTCTCCCACCTTGGGGGCCATGCCCCCCCCTTCAACGAGGGGGCCACTCACCTATTCGAGTCAGAAAGCTGAGGGTCCTCCCCGGCTCCACCGCCACCTCTCCCACCCGCAGGTTCCCAGCAAGCCCTGCCTGGAGTGTGCCAAACACGTCCTGAGTCCGTCTGCTTCCCTCCTCTGCGTTCTCTTCCCCAGGAGAGGCACCTCTGCCGAAGGACCCCCTGCCTCACCCTCCAGTTCACCCCTGCGGGCAGCCAGAGTGGCTTCTAGCAGCTGACCACACCACTCCTTTGCTTTCGGAGGGGTGCAGGGGGAGGTCCAAGTTCTTCAGTGTGACCCTGTTGGACCGGCCTCCCTCCCTCCCTGGCCTCTGCCTACACCCCCGCCCCGCCCCG